AAAGAGACGAAAATCGGGAATGAGGATAACCTATAAAGAGACTTAAAGAATAAGGCTTGATTTAGAACTTGGGAAGAGATGTCTAACATGGCTCTACTATTGCCCTATTTGCATCTAGGTTTACTATAGTGTTGTTGACCTCTTGGGTAAGCTTACTAAACAAACCTCACATCTGCTGTTAACTGATGGACACTTCGCTATAAGTGTCGAACTCTCCGTCGGGTTAGGCTTCGAGGTGATTCGGCTCTGTTCTGACTCTGGTCTAGTTCGACGAACGCTCCATTAGAGGTGACGGACACTCCATTACCTTGTGGTTACTCTAGAGGTTTGGGACTTAGGCGTTCCTAGGTTTTTGCCTTCCATCGGATGGTCCGAGCCATATGTCGGACGCTCCGGTGGGAACTGGGAGGTCTCATGTTTCATCAGTTTCCTGATTTATAAGCTGGCGGACACTCCGCGAGGAACTGCAGACGCTCCGTTGGAAACTGGTGCTCTTGGGTTCTTGGGTTTTGACCTTAATAATTCGACGGGCACTCCGTCGAGATCGACGAACACTTCACCAATCACTCTGAAAGGGTGTTGGGGTCTCTGCTGGGAAGGTTATTAAATTAGGAAAGTTTTTCGGACACTCCATCGCATGTGATGGACTCTCCGATGGATTGGACGATAAAAACTATGTTCTAGGTTTTGGCTGTTTTGATCTCTAGTTTGGAGTGGCAAACATTCATGCATGTGCACAACATTCTCAGGGTAGCTCTATTGATACTCTAGGTTGAAACTAGCTAGGTTTTGGGTCTTGGATAACTAGTGCATCTAGTGGTTTATGCATGATCCTAATCATGAGAGATTAAGATAGAGACTTAGGGTTGGGCCACGAGAACTTAGCTCTGGGATTTAGGAACTATAGGATGATTAAGACCATGAGAAGAGACTTGAGCACAACTTGCTTTTCATACTTGATGAGACAAATGAGTCATTCCTTGATATCTTGCAAAAATCTATAAAATGGCATGAGAAGGTCTTTAAGGAAGATCTCTAGGGACTAATCATGCATAGAGCCTTACCTTACCTTTGTGATGAATGAGAGATCACCACACTCCATGATCCATACATGCATGAGAGATTGGGGATTAGGGTTTGAGAGAAATATCCAAATAATTGAGATGAGAGCTCATGAGCTAACCATGGTCATGGATTCGAGATGAGGATGACTTGAGCTTGATGGGATGATGATCTTGGATCGTTTGCTTTCATTTCACCTTCCACCTTCACCTCCAATCTCCATTTTCTCTCTCTAGTTCTTCCTTGTTCTTGCTTTTTTTAGACAGAGAGGGAAAGATGAGAAATGGGAGAGTGAGTTGAGTTGGGGTTGCTTCAGCTGATGATCCACTCTCCACTTTCATGCATATGATAGGTGGGACCATGAGCAAGTGGAGGACAGCTCACTTCCCACTCACTGCTACTGTTCAGACATTTGGTGGATGGTCCGATGGACTTACCGGACTATCCGGTAACTCTCTGCTTCTATGAAATTGACTCAAGCACATGGGATTTGGCATTGGGGCCAACAATCATATCCCAAGCAGTGACAACCTGACCATTATGTATCTGAGATTCAAAGGTAACACATCTCCAGTAGCTTTGGTTGATCCTTGTTGACTTGAGCTGGCTCATGATGCGAATCACTTTATCAGACGAAAAGTAACGTGTTCCTTGGGTCCTAGCCCGTCAAGATCTCTGCAAGGGCTCAATAAGGTGCTCCACTTATGGTCAAAAGTAAGAGCCTATATTATAACAAACTCGGGTCATTACAATATTCTCACTAATATAAACCCGCTCTCCAGTATTATTTGTCTTGTCATTTCACTACGTCACCATAAACAAGCCTGGGAGCAAACCTGTCGGCACGCTCAAAATAACCTCATGATGGCCTATTGGCGGTCACAGGGGTTCAATCTCGGACTGTAGGCCTTGAGCTGGCTCGAGGGAGGACCCCCACAACGGTGACTTGTATCTTGCACTCATTTTATTTTTGCATATAAAAAATCAAAACATGATAAAAGACCACAAAAATAAAATATGATAAAAAGAATAAAAATATTTATTCCACTCTACATATGTGTAGTAAGAATATTTTAGTTCCTTCTCGTTAAAATGATGAATAGTTGCTCTGTCTTATATTTCTTCCGTATCTAGTTTATAACTTAGTATTCCCCAAGGTTTGAGTTTGTTGGCTAAAATGTCTTATCCTAAAAACTTGAAACTTATGGATTGCAAATGCATGATCCTTTTCTAAGTTGTTGTGAGCTATGATATGGTACGACGGAATTTGCTATGATTTTATTCTAAGAGAAACTTGACATCCGGAGTTTTTATTTTTCAAAAGGGTAAAATGAAAAGTTCCTCAATGGTAACATGTCCTACCAAAGCCATATGATACTATACACTGCAAAAACCTTAGTCATATGCTACTTGTTATTATATTGAGCTTTGTCAAATTGTTGTGACCCGTAAGAGATTCTCGTCATGCACCCATGATCAAGATTCACGTATACTCCAGAAATAATATGCTGACTCTTATACTAAGAGTTACGAAAAAACATGCTATTCGTCCACCAAATAAAAATGCTCCATCCACATGTCATGACTCTCTCTCTCTAAAGTTTTCCTTTGCCAAAAGAAAATATGGGCTATGTAAAAAATATCCATGTCAAAGAGCATGAGTGAGAAAGAATCCATGCTAAAAGCATGAGGGAAAAAATATTTCCATGGCAAAGAGCATGATTGAGAAAAAGAGAAAAGATAGCCCATATTTTGAAAACACAAGCAAAGAGAGAGACTCATGCAAAAAGTAGTTCAAATAAAAAAAAATTCCACACACTTGCACTTCCTAATCAAAGTGTATGATCTGCATCTCTTTGGATTCGGTTTTTGGCTTAGCAAAATTATATGATGCAAGTATGCTTCTCTTTCATCCCTACCTAAAACCCCACAAAAGCTTATTAAAACCAGGATGAAAAAGAAGGCAAATACTAAAAGCCTTTGGTGAGGATCATACATATTGAGCGATCGAGTGAATCATTCGATGAACTTATTTTTATTTGCAAAACTTTCAAAACCTCCAGAAAGAAAAGTTGATCAAAGAACGAATGACTAGTGATTCTGTAAAACCGTTCTATCTCGCAATCACCCAAGACTTGAAAAAGCAAAAAGCCCCGCAACGATTAAGATAAAAAAAGGTGGATAAAATGCCAACATATTCAAATCAAGGAAGAATACTTTGTTATAGACATGGTAGTTTTTAAATGTAATCAGCATTGCAGCAACTCCTGATCAATAACCAATGTCTTAGCTTTTGCTCGGGACGAGCAAAGGTTAAGCTTGGGGGATCTTGTTGGCGGTCCTTAAAGACCAATTTTGACCGCCAAGTAAGAGAGAAACTTGCATGATTACACACATATGTTATTCATATGGACACATTTTCACATATATCGGAAGAAAAGTGTTTTGTAGATCATACAGGTGAAAAGGGTGGAAATTATGGACAGTGCGCAATCCGGCAAAGCGTAAAGCTGACCTAAGCAAAGAAATGGAGAAAAGGCCAGCTTACATGGTGATTCTGGGCCTCAAGTGAATGGGGACGCGGCCTAGGCCCAACCAACAACCGACTAGAGAAAGACGGTTGGAGGGAGGCGCTGCCAGGCGGAAACCATCGCTGCCGGCCAGTCGGATGGAATCCTCGCGCCGAACCCCCTCTGCGCTCGTACGTAATTGCTCCGCACGCTTCGTTTCGGCCCAGCGGCCCAGGAGCAAAGGTCCGTGAGGTTTTCTTTTTTCTATTTCTTTTTCCCTCTTTCTTTTTCTTTCCTTTCTACTATTTATTTTTCCTTTTTCTTTTCTCTTTTATTTTTTGTTTTGTTCTATTATTCTTGTCATATTTTATTCTTTTTTATTTTTCTTTCTTTTTTTTCTTCTATGCTTTCTTATTTTTCTTTCTTTTCTTCTATTTCTTTTTCCTTTCCTTTCTCTTTTTTCATTTTTTCTTTTTCAATGGTCTTTTGTTAATCTTTTTGTTCCTTTTTCTATTTTCCTTTTTTATTATATGTTTTCCTTTTCTTTTTTCTTTCCCTTTATTCATTTATTTTTCTTTCCTTTTTCTCTATTCATAAGTTTATGTTTCACTTTTTTATTTACAGATGTACTTGATGTTCGTGTAGTATACATGTAATATTCTATCATGTATTTTTTATGTCCGCGAGTAGAAATATAATGTTATACGATGTATTTTGTGATGTTTAGTAAGCATACATTGATGTTCTAGATATATTTTGTGATGTTCGGTAGCATTTTTCTTCTTTTTATTTCACTCTAATTAATTACTTCACTAATTTTATTATTTTTACTTTATATTTTTATTATATTTGTGATGTTCACTTAGTATACATAAGATGTTATATGCTATATTTAGCGATGTTCGTGTAGTGTTAATGTGATGTTCTATAATGTATTTGTGATGTCCGGTAGCATTTTTTTCTTCTTTTTATTTGACTATAATTAGTTAATTCACTAATTTTATTTTTATTTTTTATATTTCATGATATATATGATGTTCATGTAGTATACATATAATGTTCTATGCTATTTTCTGCGATGTTCGTGTAGTGTTAATGTGATGTTCGACGATTATTTTCAAATATACAGTTTTATCATGAGATAAATGTTAGTTAAATTTTTTTATCAAAATATATCCACGTGAGGTCTTATTTTAAAGAGTTTATTACATGAACACAATGATGCAATCGAATTTTAATTAAGATACTCTTAAGGGATGCTTTTGAGTCATATTAAATCAAATTCGGCCCAATTTAAGGATCCAAACAGGCCGGTTCTTTGTTTGACCTAGGGTTTGCTTTTACCACTACGGGGAAGCCAGAGACGCCCTGACTGCAGTGCAAATCATCACTCGGCTCGTTTCCCGAACCTTCCTCCTCGACTTCCCCATGGGCAAGTCCGGCGCAAAAAAGAAGAAGCCGGCCGCCGCCGCCGCCGCCGCCGCAAAGCCGCCGCCCACCTCGGCTGAGCTGAAGGCGCCGCCGCCCTCGTCATCTTTACCCGCGGCGAACGGCGGTGCGGTGCCTCACCAGGCGGTGGACGCCGGCGTCCTCCTGCGCCGCGCGCACGAGCTCAAGGAGGAGGGCAACCGCCTGTTCCAGTCGCGCGACTACGCCGGGGCGCTGCGCCAGTACGAGCTGGCGCTCCGCCTCGCCCCGCGCGGCCACCCCGACCGCGCCGTCTTCCACAGCAACCGCGCGGCGTGCCTCCTCCAGCTCCGCCCCGTGGACCACGAGGCCGTCGCCCAGGAGTGCTCCCTCGCGCTCCAGGCCGAGCCGCGCTTCCCGCGCGCTCTCCTCCGCCGCGCCCGCGCGCTCGAGGCGCTCGGCCGCCACGAGCTCGCCCTCGCCGACGCGCTCGCGCTCCTCGCGCTCGACCCTGACCACCGCGACGCCATCGACCTCTCCTACCGACTACGCGCCCGTGTCAACGCGTCCTCGGCTGCCTCCGCTTCCTCGGCACCCGAGCCCACCAGCCGGCCCTCCCCCGCTGCCCTTGGTGCCTCCGCCGTTGTCGCCGGACTTGGCCATTCCCTCCCCGCTCGCCCATTCCCTAAGAAACAACCACCACCAGCCCCTCCTGCTACTTTGCAGCCAAATCTCGCAGTGATGTCAAAATCTAACCCATCACCGTGGCCCAAGCTTGTGCCTTTCTCCAATTCCCCGCCATCTTCATCCAAGCCTTCGGCTGCAGATAGCTCGGAGAAGGCCATGACGCTGCCAGTGGCCTCTTTGTTACCGGCAACAGTGGAACCACTTATAAATAAAAAGGTTGTGACGAGATGGAGGCCTCTCAAACTGGTGTACGACCATGACATTAGGCTTGGGCAGGTTCCAGAGAAATGCTGCTTCCGTACACTTCGGGAGTTTGTAGCAAAGAGGTTCCCATCATCCAAGGCAGTGTTGATTAAGTATAAGGATGTTGATGGTGATCTAGTTACCATCACATCGACGGAAGAGCTCCGGTTAGCTGAATCATTCATTGATAAAGTTGGCCACGAGGTTGTAGAAAATGGGAGGGAGGGTGACAATAAACTCCCGGTGTTGAGGCTGCACCTTGTTGAGGTGAGCCCAGAACAGGAACCAACTTTGCCATCAGAAGAGGAGAAGTTGGAGGAGGATGAGGAGTTGTTGATCAATGGTGAAGATAGCACTTTGAATACTTCTGCAGTGGTAACCAACGCTGAGGTGATAAAGCAAGATGTCGAGAACGGAGTTGCTGAGCAAATTATGGAGACAGGAAAGAAGGATTGTGGCCATGCTGAGTGCAAGGAAGCTGAGATTGATGATTGGTTGCTTCAATTTGCAGAATTGTTCCGGAACCAGGTGGGGATTGATGCAGATGCGCATCTGGACCTGCATGAGCTGGGCATGGAGCTGTGCTCCGAGGCTCTTGAGGAAACTGTGACAAGCGAGGAGGCTCAGGCCCTTTTTGAGATGGCTGCTTCTAAATTTCAGGAGGTTGCTGCCTTGTCCTTATTCAATTGGGGAAATGTGCACATGTGTGAAGCAAGGAAGCGCATCCCTCTCGATGAATCTGCTCCAAAGGAAGTCATGGCTTCTCAGCTCCGCACAGCTTATCATTGGGTGAAGGAGAGGTATGCTCTTGCAGGGCACAAGTATGAGGAGGCCCTTAAAATCAAGCCAGACTTCTATGAAGGGCTTCTTGCTTTAGGCCAGCAACACTTCGAGACTGCAAAGCTTCATTGGTCATTTGCACTGGCAGATAAGGCTGACCTATCTACCTGGGATTCTTTGGAGACATTCAAGCTTTTTGATAGCGCTGAGCATAACATGAGGGCTGCAACAGAGATGTGGGAGAAGGTGGAAGAACAGAGAATGGCAGAGTTAAAAGAACCAGGTGCAGGTGACAAGGATGAGGTACTGAGGAAAAGGCAGCACGGTGCAGGTGGTCAACCGGAGTTGACACCAGAAGAGGCAGCTGAGCAGGCAGCAGTAATGAGGCAACAGATTCACCTCTTCTGGGGTAATATGCTTTTCGAGCGTTCTCAAGTGGAGTTTAAGCTCAGTGTCGGTGACTGGAAGACAAATCTTGATACATCTGTTGAAAGGTTTAAGTTGGCTGGAGCTTCAGAATCAGATATTTCGACAGTGTTGAAAAATCACTTTTCTAATGCAGCCACTGAGTGTGAAGAGAAGAAAGTCATGACTTCAGGCACAGAAATTTCACAAACAAATGACAATGTTGAGGATAAGTGTGTGGTTGAAACCTAAGTTTTCATGGTTCAAGGTGCATGACATCAATGTGTATCATATTCATCAATTGCTTGATAGGCTTTATTTGCTCTTGGCAATATCATGGTCCTTTGTCGTGACATCTAGACGAGAGCTTCAAGCACACTGAGTTTTGTGTAATCTTGATAATTTACTAGAGAGGTCTTAGATTTCTGAATATATTATTATTCTTCAGCCAGTTTTAGTGGTATGTGATGTGGGTTAGTTTTCTTTTTCCTGTCAGAAATCAGGTCTCAGCAATATCTCCCAGCTCACATTGTTTAAAACATCGGACACATACTTAGTAAACACGGAATGTTACCCATGACTCATTTATTGTGCTAAGTCGCTGATCCCTGCATGATAGATTTGTATTTTAGTGTTTGTGTATTTAGTTTGCCGCTTTTGCATCCGGCAATCTAAGGCAGTTGTGCCTCAAATGTGGCTTTGTAAGCTGTAACATAGCGTATTTTATGCACTCTACAAGTACCGAATTCTTTTCGCAGACAAATTTCAAACAAAGTTACTGGCCATGTTCAGCCACCATTAAACTGCTTTTTTCCTTTGTCCAAGCTAATGGATATTCAAGGTCGAATGGAAAACAACAGCCAGGCCGTGCTGTGAGACAGTGAAATCTTATACGAATATTCTGATATTTGATATGGTTCATCACATTTCACTGTTCAGTTACATGGTTACTGGTAGAAATGAGTTGCTTTCAGTGACGGATCCCTAGCAGGGGAGGCAAACGCCATGGATCAAGGTATATTCAGAGTTGATTGGTTATTCTTCTATTGCATCCTAGTTTTTTAAATCTATGTCTCTTTTATGTGGTAGTTCACTTTGTGTGTACTCTGTTATCGCCACTTTTCAGGGAGGTTAGCATACCATTCTGGTGCAACTAATCGTGATTCCAGATTGATTCAAACAAGCAAAAAACCTGTGATGTTTCACAGGGGTGGATCTTTTTTTTTTTCATTTATGGTTGCTATGGTCTGATTAAGAAGATGCCTTGCGATTTCATTTTTGTTTATGAGGCCCATTTTTGTCGGCAGCTTGGACTTCAGAGATCAGTGTCCTGAACTCATCGCATCTTCTATCTCTATCTGTGGAATAAGAGCATTGACATGACGATCTTCGGTTTCATGATTTGTTTCCTTTCTGTGCTCCCAGTGTTATAATGTTATTTGTACATTTATTGGCTCAATAATACTCCCTAGGTTCAAATCTTATTTTCCTGCAGTTGAATGGATAGCAATGAAGGGCGGGCCTGGTGCAAGCAGTAGAGTCTTACCGCCTGTGACCGGAAGGTCCCGGGTTCGAGTTGCGGTCTCCTCGCATTGCACAGGCGAGGGTAAGGCTTGCCACTAACACCCTTCCCCAGACCCCGCACAGAGCGGGAGCTCTCTGCACTGGGTACGCCCTTTGAATGGATAGCAATGGGGAATTGTAGAATTAGCTTGCTTTCATTACCAAGCATACTGCTATTGTTTGGCCAAGTTGCTTACAAAACTCGACTAGTCTGTGCGCACTTACAATTTTTGCTCTATCAAACTGTAGATTTATCACAATTGCATTAATTTATATGATATGAAGTAGACTGTTAAGAGTAATAGTCTCTCAAAATATTCTACCTGACCTCAAAATTCATGGTTTTCCTTTTCCATTCTCATGGCTGAGATCATGTGTCATGTGTGTTTCCTGTGCACTGCCTGTTTTTCCCATGTGGTGTTTGCAGCCTTAGACTCAGACATGGATACAATGTGAAGTTGCATACACTTGTCTTTACACATATCTACTTCTGGTCTTCTGCCATATCAGCTTTAAGGTTCTTTACTGTGTCCATTATTGATGGTTCAAACTATGCCCTATCAGGCAGACAAAGTAATAGTTAATCTGTGTTTAAAACATCTACCAGAACAACTTGTGCTCAATTCATAATAGAATATAGTATATTTAAACTTAAAACTCCATTCCTCAGGTTGTCCTATTCATACTTGTGCAAAATGCAGGGGAGAAGACTATTTTGAGATGAAGTTTTCATCCATACATGAGGTGAGTACTGCCGATGGTGCCATATGATCAGCTCACTGCCAAGCTCATTAATCTTCGGCACCACAAATCCACTAATGGCATCCAATGACGCATCTTCCCTAAGCTGCTAGGGTCCAAATCTGCAGTCAGGTCTCTTGTGCTCTGGGCCTCCTCACTGCTTTCTTTCAGTTTGTTGTGCTGTCTATGATAATATTATCCACTGTACTACTTTTGGTTGTTAGATTAGCATGCCTCACTTACATTGAGTTATATTTCGTTGGGGCATATATATTGAATACAATTATTGAGACTCTCATTTGCTTCAGGGTACTTCAACTATGTCCAATATGTAGCATGTATAGGGTCTGATTACTGAAGCTCCATGCCCTTTGTGATCTACCCCTTGTGTTTGTGTAGATTGTATTGCATGGCTGTTTTGAGCAGAGTAGCCAGTCAGCCACCATTGTTTTATTCTTTCCTTGACTTTTCACAATCCATGTGTTTTAGCGTTGCTAATGGCTTATCCCATATAGTATTCTTATAAGGGATTTACTACTTAAGGTGCACTTTCATAAAGGTCCAATATGGATATTAATACATAATTCTTTGTTTTAAATAGATCTGCTGTGTGTTAGCTAATGTAGCCTTACTGTCATCATATTTGCAGCTGCAAGAATTTGTAATTTTTGACCATCATAAATGTAACCCTTTTGGATAATCCATGTGTTGGTAAAGCTCTCCTTGTTCCGTTAGCAGGAGTGGACATGGATAATTTCACTTTTTTCTTTTTAGTTTTTGTGACGATATTTATCCATTTTGGGATCTTCAATTTTTTCTTTTCCTGTGATGCTGAAGTTGTAGTTCTTTTGCTATTTGCAATGGAAAAATGCTTTCTACAAAATCAACCTTATAAAATCCACGGAATAACTTCATCAGATATTTTTTTGTTTGCACCCTTAAAGCATTAGAGTGCTCACTGAAGTATTAGAACTAAATTGATTTTTTTAATCAACGTTGAGATTTGATTTTGTGCACTACATGTACTTTTGCATTTGCATTGATTAGCGTATCAGATTAGGACGACAAAAATCGTTGTATACTCATTAATGTCTCTGATAGTCTCATGCAAACTTGAATTATTTTGTTACTGGTGTCCCGATCTGCCAAAACTCTTGAAGAACCTCATTCTCTGAAGATCGTGATGGCTTTTATTGATATTTAGCATTTTGCTAAGATGAAGAGATTAAATATGATTTATTAGTTTTTTTATGCCAACATCAAAGTCGATATTTAGTCGCAAAAAAAAAAAGTCGATATTTTTTAAGCCGACATTTTTTTCCGTGAACCTGCCGTAAGACGTGTTTCATTAAGAGGGAAGGAAAGTTTTAGTACAAGGGATTACAGTACGCGATCGCACTTGTGTAGCTTGTGAGAAACATGCTGCGATAGGACACTGACATGCGGCAACTGGCATCAAGATCTGGTGGTGGTACCGCATAATTTTTGTTGACACTCAGTGAGCTGGCCCCTATATCTGAATCCTGGTTTCACCCTTGGATGCCCAAGCCTTCACAGGCTGCAAAACTTCCTGGACTCGTGATTTTTAAGAGCCTAATGGGTTCCAATCTTTTGCCCAGTTATCCTTACCGGACTTGTTTTAGAACATCTGAAATTTGATTCTAAGCTCTTGACAGCCTTTCATCAATTCAATTGTTTCATTAACATTTGTATCCCATAATGTGATATTATCAGGGTAGTTAAATGCACAAAAAGCGTGTGGCTAGGTTTAGTGCAGCATGACCATCTGAAGCTACTCTAGAAGTCTAGCTGCAGTTTACTTGCTCAGGCACACGCCTTTTTGCATGTAAGTGCAAAGCAGCAGGGCACAAATCACTCAGCTTTCCCTGATTCTCTCTTATTACAACCTGTGCCTTTTTGGCACATCTGTGACTTATATGCTGTTGCTATTAACAATTAATCACATGTACCTTTAATTTTAGGCCTGCACAATTTTGGCCCCTTCTATCCTGTTTACTCCCTCCGTTCCAATTTATAAATCGTTTTGGCATTTCTACGTACATAACTTTTGTTATGTATCCAGACATATAGTATATCTAGGTGCATAGCAAAAGGTATGTACCTAGAAAAGTCACAATGACCTATAATTTGGGACAGAGGGTGGTAATATTTATATAATCAACAGCTACATATTAGACAGTTCTATTCTATTGCATTCATGTGTGTGTGCAACTGTGCATACTACTTTTGGAAGTTTGCAGAGCCTAGCCTCTTATATCATAGCAAACGTGTAAAATCATGATGTACATGTTGCTGCCTCTGTACAAGATTTTCAGTTGATACTTCTAGGATCATCCATCAGGATTCAAATATGTTAATTAGATTTTAGAAACAAGATTTTATAAAAGCTGTGGGGGAAAAATGGGCTATCCGCCGACATAGTAGAGACAGTTTTCCAATAAGATGATGAGATCTTGCAACACTTTGTTTTCTTCATTCTCTTCTCTGTGCTTATGAATATATATATGTTTGGTAGTTCTATAATTCATACTTAGCACGTAACTGTGTGTTGCATGTGTATGCACTACTTTGACTTTGGATCTTCCATTGTCTATGTTATCAGTTTTGCCATTCCTTCATTTTATTCCGTCCTCCGCCACTACTACCACTAGCCGCAAGTTGCCTCTATTCTGATCTAGGACCCATAAGAGATTATGTTCAGTTTTCATTGACAAAGATGAGATTGATGTGTATCAATACATTTATATTGAAAAAAAAATGCTGTTCATATCAATCTATTTGGAGAAATCAGTATTTTTTTGACCAATCCAATTAGAAGACTGTTGATTTTAGAAAAATTCCACATGGAAGATGATTGGGATTTGGGAGCACTGCAGTCAATACAATTATATGTACAGAGGCTAGCTCCTGGTTTTTAGATTTACCAG